CCCCTCCAAACAACATGTTGCACAACATAACACTCACCCACTCCTACATGTTTTACGCTTCATTGTGGGCTGCTGGGATTTTCTAATGAAAAACCCCTGTGAGGACCTTAGATCCAAGGTGTCGAGACTGCACTTGGACATAAGAGTCTTTCTTGTCACAACGATGCTGACCCAGAAAAGAAAGATGAAAGAAAGGCACAACTGAACGCTGCTGATCCACTTCTGAGTAAAACAAGAAATATATGGGTCAAAAATAAAATGCCTGACACTTAGTAATAAAATATAATTCAGGCACATAAATAAAGCAGCAATGTAGAGAAAATGAACGTATTTAACGTTATCATAACTAATGTTTCCTCATACAGAGAATACAGCCTTTACAACAACAAGGTGTTATGATACAGGTCGCCACCCTGGCGGCTGTTCCTGCCCTCCCCATCACCAACACCAACACACCTCTCAATATCCAGGACATGATGTTCCAGATCCAAAGGACAAAGTCAGAGGTCCTGTAACTGCAAAAATTAGGAAAGAGGATGTCTGAATTCACACTGGAGAGAACGATCTGCATGTACGTTCCAAAGTCACAAAGCCACTAAATGAAAAGGATGGATTAAGAGCAAGGGCAAGGAACGAGTGGGCAGCTCTGTGCTTTTTTTGCTGAAATACACATTTTATGGTGTGTGTAGAAATGATACGGAAATGTAAGAGAAAAGTTGAGACAAACAGTGAGGTTATGGAATGGCAACGATTTTACTAACTTTATTAAAACAAAGGGGTTCACTGTAAGAAAGACAATAAATTGACTTTTTAAAATCATAGGTTAGGAAAACTGGCAAAGTGTTAAAAACAAACTGCAGTTCCTTGAGTTGCCACTTGAGGCTGACTCCAAAGGCGAGTAAATCCCCATTAGGCCCCATACAGTAATATGTTATAATATAGTCTTTTATCTGCTCTTTTTTGCAAAGTGTCTTACTTAAGAAAATATGTACACATCAGTGTTAGAAAACCACGGTAAAGAGTATTTTGCATAATATGTGAACTTTAAATTGATTGTGTTTTTGAGAACCTGTATCACAAAACATAATATCAAGTATTGTTTTGTTATTCCCATAATAAACAGACCAGTTCTATTTTTTATCACAGCCTGTATACCTACTCACATACTGTAAATGCTACATGAAGAAAAAACCTGGTTTCTATACATGCTCGGTTAAAACCTGCTAAACTAGATCACTGGTGAAATGGTGGCTATGAAAGTTCTTGTCTTTATTTTTCAATGATAGCCAATGCTACAATCTCTCTTGGGAGAAATCGATCGCTGTCAAGTAGCATTCATCCAAATAATTGTGTTCCGTCACACTGCCTCTAGTGCAATGATGGAGTGGTCTGCAACCGCAATCATATCAGACCATGGTGTAACATCTATGACAAGGTAATGTTACTGTTACTGTTCATCCTATTTGAAATGATTAGACCATCCATCAAAGTCAAGTGAATGGGTTAGGGTTATAGCTCATTGTAGAAGCTGCTTCGGATTCTAAGATGAAGACATCTCATGTACAAATCTGCTGATTTCTTCATGTGCAGTTTGATGGGAACAAGCTGTTCTCTCTAAACAAAACAATTGAATAGGATTAAAAGCCTACAGCGGCACCCCGCCTTCACACCATGGGCAAACAAAGTGTGCAGATCCTGTGTCTGTTCAGTCTTCATCATACCCTCCACTGGAGTGTGTCGTCCTTAAATTGCCCACTTAGCTCAGCTGTAAAGATCAAATGACTTTACAGCATGGTGCCATGTTTCTGGGTCAGCCTCTATAACAGCCTGTGGTGCATCTGTGTGCATTTAAACCAGGCAAGAAGTTCTCCTTCATATCTACCGCGCCAATAATAACAGTTTCTGAAGTCTGTGCTGGAAGTGCAATCTTAAACTAGACTCATGATCTTTGACAGCTCGTCAAACAGTCATGCCATGTGCTATTAAGGGTGACAAGGACAACATTTAGCCCGGTCACACTTTTAATGATAAGGCGCCGTCGCTAGCTACATGCACACACACCCTGCTAAATAAACACCAATCATTCTTGTGTTAAACTTGTGTAACTTGAGTAAATATATCCAAGAAGCATCTCCTGACATTGGATCTTTTATTTTCCTGCTTTGACCCAATTTATGTTTGGCATACTAGTTAGTTTGAGTCTGTTGGTGATGCTGAGTGTGTGTCTGATTTAACATGTACAGTGTGAGCACAAAGATACTCTGTGGCCTAGCGTTTAGGTCGTGCCCCATGTTTGGAGGCTAGTCCACCGAGCAGGTGCTCCGGGTTTTTGAGAACGGCCTGTGGCTTCTTTTCACAATAAGAATATGTGGCTTGATGGGGCCACAACAAACTGTTCAATCATTTTGGACATCTTATTGGACATATACTGGGTCGGGTCTGTAATATCTTGGTCAAAAAAAACTTTAAAGGAGCAATATGTAACTCTGACACCTAGCGATTAAAATGGGTACTTCAGTCCAAATTCAAAACAATTAATGTTTTTTTTTTAAGATTTATTTTTGGGCTTTTTGTGCCTTTATTGTAGAGATATGATAGTGGATAGAGTCGGAAATCAGGGAAAGAAGTCATTTAAGGATACCTTTCCGATAGAAAAGGACAGCTGTCATTAGGTTGCCTACTGGCAACTGCCCGGGGACTACAGCTGGAAATTAGCCGTAAAGGCTAAAGCTGCTTCTTTTACTGTACAGTAAATTAAAGGGGACTGTCCAAGAAACAATAAACAAATAAACTAAACTAATAAACTAAACTAATTAAAAGTAACGCATGAACACCAAGATTCCTTCAAGTGTTTGTGTCGGCCATCCCATGCAGTAAACCTAGGGGAAACACTGTCTGATCATAAAGTAAGATTTCTGATTTAATTCAGTAGATTTCTTACATATTGAACCTTTAAGAAAATGAATGCGTCAAATCAGATCTTGGAAAAAAGCTTTATCCATTAAAGTACGGTGCATTCTTTTTGGACACACCACAACTAGATGTTCTGTTGGGCGTCAAAGCTCTCAGCAACACTGTTCTTACTAACAGCAGGCAGCACCAGTTGGCAGACAGAGTTTAGAGATTGTTCTGCTAACCGCTAGAGACCAAAACAAATCAATAAACACTCTACAAAATTATTTTTAAATGAAACCCTTCTAGTTTTTCCCTGACATCAAATTATTTTCCCCCTTTTTCTTGTTCCTCCTGAGGAGCATCCTGACCTGTAAAGAAGCTACACCATCTGATACCACTGTCTTTCACCTGAGGTTTAATGATGTGAAGAATCTGAGAGATGGAGCTGAATTGCTCGGGGGGTCTCCAGAGAAGGAAGGGGGAGCCAGAGGTCAGAAAGTCCTGAGTTGATATTCTCCCTCTGACAGACACACAGCGCATTGCAGCAGCATCTAGTGATGTTCTTTTAGCTGTAATACAAGCAGACCTTTACTTTCGAAAATTGTACTTGTTGAATTACAAAAAGAAAAGGTCGGCTTTCTCAGCGGAAAATCTGATTTACACACATCTATGATTGAATAACAAACACAGGCACAGTATCCCGGGGAATGTAATTGATTTATGTATAAAATACTGGTGGAGACTTGGTTCGATGTAAACTGGTCAAGCCAAGAGAAACCATGTGTAGAAAAATGTTCTGCACTTGAATTATCACATTAAATACACCTGAATAAAAACGTGGCCATTACTGTAAATCCCTAGGTGAGCGAAATATGCTGACATTAAACGTGTATTCAATTAGCCTAATTAGCCTGCGTGCCCCACTACAACCCATTATCATTCTTCAGCGTGAGCAGCTGGACGACAAGTGACGGCCCTAATAAGTTGCACATTTCGGCTCATGAATCCCTTTCAGCTCAGGTAATTGATGCAGTGGTGTCCTAGCAACAAGTCTGCACACGCCGAGCATGTGAGAGATCTGATAATGATGAGCGAAATATTGAGTTCTTTTTTTTTTTAGTGTTTGCATTGGATGAATGGAGACAATGAAGCCTCTATCAAAGTTAACATTTACATAGATCAAGGCAGTGTGTCACGTGTAATGTGAAGCCACAATGAAGTCAGACTCCGACACGTGAGCAGAGTTTCACACAACGACCAAGAGGTCGCCCAGTCTGTTACTATTTGAGTTTTAAAGGCAGAACATGCAAAATTGTATACATAAATACAGCAGAAATCCAGAACATCCTCTGTAAATGTCTCTCTTAGTCATGACTCTTTACAATGAGTGAGAAGCACGAGACCCGCCAGCTGTACTGTTGTCTGAGCTGTGTTTACATCGTGTTTACATGGACAGGACGGCCTTACGTATAACGCTGTTTTAGTCAAGGACAAGAGAAAAGAATAACACTCACTGCTCCGAGCGCTCAAGTTCAGAATCTTTCAACTTTTCAGAAAGGCGCTGTTGAGTTGACTTTACCAAATGTATGATATTCCCTGTATTTTTGCCAACTACGTATCGCATCTTGTACTCACATTCTCTTTGCTCCGTGTCTCATCGGGAAATAAACGATCTAAGATAAAACTGTTGTCACAGAGACAGGATGAAAATAACTGAAAAAAAAAAAAAAATATTTTATACAAATGCTTATAAGTGTACAAATGAAAGAGAAATAGAGAGTAAAGTAAAAAGAGAGTAATCTTCTTTATGGCTTAGACCACACTGCTTTTTTATAGCATACATACATATATATATATATAAATAATGAACTACTCATGAGTGTCAGCCCTGTGTAGAAATGTTTTCAGCAGGGCACAAAAAATGCAACCTCGGTCACCTCTCTCTCTCTCTCTCTTCTTGTACTTGATATGCTTGAGTATCTGTGATTGGCTGCTGCAGGTTCAGAGAGAGAGAGGGAGCGAGAGAGAGGGACTACCCTCTCCTGATTGGCCGGGTACAAAAGGGGGCAGAAGCTGTGTTTGTACATAAAGACATTGCTCAGCCTGACGGGCATACTCACACTCTTCTTCAGTCAGCTCCATACTTTTATCAGAACAGTTCAGAGGAGAAAATACCGATAAAGAGAGGAGAAGAACAGAAGAAATTTTGTTTAAAAAAAAAACAGAAATAGAAGAGCAACAGCAGCATGTCTATTAAAGTGAAGGAAAAGACGGAGGTGCGTCTGGTGTTTCTGGGAGCAGCTGGAGTGGGGAAGACAGCCATCATCCAGCGCTTCCTCAAAGACACTTTTGAGCCCAAGCATCGGCGCACGGTGGAGGAGCTCCACAGGAAGGAGTTCGAGGTTGGAGGTGTCAAAGTCACCATCAACATCATGGACACGAGTGGCAGCTACTCCTTTCCCGCCATGCGGAGACTCTCCATCCAGAACAGCGATGCCTTCGCACTGGTCTACGCCGTGGACGACCCCGAGTCACTGGAGGCGGTGAAGAGTCTCCGAGACGAGATCCTGGAGGTCAAAGAGGACAAGTTCACGCCTATTGTAGTGATAGGCAACAAGATCGACCGCCACAACGAGCGTCAGGTGTCCAGCAAGGACGTGCTGACCCAGGTGGAGCTCGACTGGAACAACAGCTTCCTGGAGTCATCGGCCAAAGACAACGTGAACGTGCTGGAGGCGTTCAAGGAGCTCCTGCAACAGGCCAACCTGCCCAGTTGGTTGAGTCCGGCGCTGTGTCGGCGACGGGAAACTGTCCCCAAGGTGACCAACAAAAGACCGATCGTGAACAAGACCAACAGCTGCCTTGTCTCGTAATGGCACGGACACCAAAAAAGACTCAAAGAGAGGAAGAAGGCTGCCAAAAAACAGACAGAAGAAGGTTTGTCGGTGCGGAGAAACAAACCAAGAGACAGTGTTGAATGGTTTGAACTGTAAATTCCTCATCAGGCTTGAAATCATTAGAGACACAGGGATGTTACAGCGACGGACAGAATTCTAGAAAAAGGTTGATAGCGAGAAAGAATGTGTTTAAACAACAGTTGAAGTAGAGACTGGTTATTCAGAATGTTAACAAAAGATACCACGATATAACCTGACAGCTTTATGTACAAAAACACTTTCCATTTGTGTATAAGTGACTTTTTACATGTTTTTTTAATTATTTTTTTTATGTTTGTGCAACAATTGTGAAGTGATGGGTATTAATGCAAAGTTTACATGCGCAAGTGTTGACGTGAACAACAGGTGGTCTGCTTAACTTTAACTGTAAATATTTTAAAAATCAACCCATCAATGTTGAGAATTCAGCCTGTGCCGTTACTCTGTTCCACATTGTGATGCAAATCTTTTTGAGTTTCTGTCTCTCATTGTTCAACTAATAAATCTATTTCTTTTTCAATGGGAGAGTGCTTCATTTGATTGCTGTTTTTTTTGTCCATTTCAAATATGTAGATAAAAATGTCATCTATTTTTTTCCTTTTTGCCATTCAATTGTTACGTATTATATTGTATGATATTATTCTCTGCTGATTTTAAGAGAAATAAACCAGTTTTTTTTTTTTCATACTTACATTCAGTCTTCTTAGCATTCGTCTCATTAAACACATTCAGCTTTCCTGCAGATTATAACTTACTGATCTGACAGCAGTGTGTGTAGCCTTTCTCCTACATTCTGTTACTTTCACTATAAATGATCAAATTCTAGAAATCTTAAAATAGAAATCACAACGTAGGGGCGCTGTAGCTTGGTCGTTATTGCAGGTGCCGCATGAACGGAGGCTGTGGTTATCCAAGTGGGCGGACTGGGTTTGAATCCGACCTGTGGCTCCAGGCCCGAATGCCACCCCCCCCCTCTCTCTCTCATCCTGACTCTATCCACTGTCCTATCTCTACAATAAAGTCACTAAATTCCCAAAAATAAATCTTAAAAAAAAAAGAACAGACCTCACTTCATCTGAATGTAAAATTAAAAGGATTCCAGTGTTTGATACTTTTGAAGTTGTTGTAATTCCATCACTCTGTTTCAACCGTAGACCGTAAACAATAAGGTCTCAACTCTTATAATGGCAGTAATTCAACTCCAACTTCTTGTAGTCAACTTCCTTTCTTGAGAGTTTTAAAGAAAAAGAAGGCTGAAAAAGCAACATTTGAAGCCCTTCTTTAACAACTTGTCTCTTTTTTAAGTGACTTGTGTTGATTGTAATGTTGTTATTATGAACTCAGTGAAAAGCGGTGTTGGTATTGGTTGGATTATCATTATGAAATAAAGATCGGTATAGACTTCAATAAGTGGCTGGGTGTCTTTGTTGTCTAAGTTGTGCTGTACCACCCCCTGGTGGTCATTTCAAACTTTTCATATTTTTGAGCCTCTGCTGTGGTTTAAAAGAGTGTCAGACCTGGAGCCCCCCCCCCCCCTACTTGTCTGGGGGCCCTAAAAGTAGTTGCCTGCCTTGCCTGTTGACACACAGCGCCCCCGCCTTTGGGTCAACACAAAATGAAACATGTTGGCTGGTTATTTGGTGATTCTGTGCCTGACATTTCTACGTTCTCTTTGAGTCTACACAAGTGCTGTAAATCAAATCTCGTCGGGCCACTCCGGCCCAAAGAGGGAGGGGAAAAAAAGTATGCTTCCTCTTTCCAGAAAAGCTCAGAGACAAGGTGCATTGTTTTCCCCAGAATATGACGAGGAAGTGACCTTTGATTATCGGATCTCTGGTTCCTCTTTGTACCCTGTTAAAACCCACAAACGTTTCCACACTTGTCTTTTCAGCACAGAAACAGACACAGAGAAGAGGACTACAATGGTTTCTAATGCTCAGGTGTGGACTAAACGTATCACTCTGGTTGAAGGACGGCTTTTCAGAATTTAAAATCCTTGCTTTAAGATTACCGCGTCATTTTGACAGCTGAAATTTCGACCACCACGACAGATGTGTCTCGTTCGTCTCTGCTCCTCGACTTGGTCAAAGCTCCTCAGAGTTGTCTGGAGACCTGAGAAGTTTTGAACAAGGATAGGATCTCTGACAGTCACTACAGACTTAAAAGGTTTACTATTTTCATATTTTTTTAATTTGGCATGGCAGGAGTCTACATCAAGATTGGAAAAATGATAACTCTTCAACATACATTGCTGTAAAAGATTGATTTTGTCCTCCAGTTTTTTTTATGTTTTCAAGTGTCAGGATACTGCACATGAATATTTTATTTTATAATACCAGACATACCAATCTAAGATTTTAAATGTCTTGTCTTCTTCTGTATAATACAGAATATCTACAGTTCTTTAAAGGCTTTACAGAGAGATGTTGAATAAGATTAGAGGTAAAAGAATTTCTACTTAAAACTAAACACAGACACATTTTGACATACCAGTGCATTCACTGTGGATAAGAAATTAATTCACTAAGACTCAGTAATAGGTTTCCTTGTCTGATAGAAACAGAATGAGGCAACTGTTTTATTTTCATACACATTGACGACGTATGGAGCGAGACAGAAGGGTGCAAGTCTCTGAACTGTACATCGTCAACAAAGATACCAGGCAGGGGAGCAGAGACGACATCAGGAAGTACACTTACTGGGGTGGGGTAGGGGAGGGAGGGAGGAAGAGGGGGAGGGGGTTTACAATTTGAGCCAGCATGTCGACTGCATCGCTACAAAAACGACCTCTAACCGTGTGCCAACACAACAGGAGCAATCGGATATTTAAAACAAGACAAAATAACAACAAAAGGAAAGGACTGCTGATGTATGGAAGACGAGAATTTCAACACGTCAAACAGGAGCAAAAACATCAAAAACAAATAATTGTGCATTGGCTTATTCAGTGAGTACATATCCCTGAGCAAAAGGCTCGATCAGCACCCCCCCCTCCTCCCCAAGCAACACTTTGACATTCACATAGCGAGCAGAACAAGGCGCAAATGTTCAAATAGGCTCAGTTAAGACCAGTCTGAAGTTCTGACACGACTCTTTTATTGCCAATTTGCTCAACAAAAAAAAAAAGGACATATTTTTAAGGACTGCTGCGCTATTTCAGCAAACGTCTCATCTTTCTTCAAGGCAACCACAAGTTTAATCAAAGTCCACTCACATGGTGCATTCAGGTGCTGGTATACTACTCAGGATTCTTTGTAAAGCACAATAAGAAATCCTCATGAAGAGGAGCCACAACTTAGAAAGCAGAAAGAGAACTTGTCTCCTTAATGCATTTGAAAGTGTATTTATTTCCCAACACGGGGGTTCAAGTAGCAGATCAGAAGGATTTTACACACATTGTTGTCAGTTGTTTTTTTTAAATAGCAGGCTCCTTAGTTTTTAATGTAATTTATATGTATTGCGTTGTCATAGAAACCATCAGCTTGTTGGTACACGCTGTGTCTGAAACCACATGCTAACACACTGCCTGCTACATACTCAAACAGCATGAACTGCATGCTAACCCTGAGGTTAGTTTTGCTATTGGATAGTCTGAAAAGCTGCAAAGCATTGTGTGATAGTTGGGTCAAGACAAGTGAGTGAGCTCCCGTATCATCATACTAAAAGAAACATGAATAATCTTGCACACATCCAGGAGTTTCTCACATTCACACGTTTGCATACTCTGAATCCAGAATGCACGACATAATCAAAATGACTTCATACTTAGTATAAATAAATAGTATGAAAGTATACAGAAAGGTAAGTATACAGTTTCTGACACAGCTGTAAAGTGAAGTGGTTACGCTCGATCTACTGCTGGTATGACGGAGACTTCCCGCAGACAGTGCATTTAAAGCAGTCTCTTCCATGAGTTCATGTGGGCTTCAGTCCAAATGCCTTCACCAAGAGAGTGTACTAAAGTGTGACCTCATCAAAATAAAAGCCTAATTATGAGCTCATACCCCATCACACTTAGTGTCTCTTGATTATTCGTGGGTCTCACAGTGAAACCTGCCGAGCTTTTCAAACATACTCTTTTCATTTTAAAAGGCTTCTTTGAAGTAAACGGATGCTTTGAGCTGAACGTTTCATTACATTAAGCCCTATTGTTCTCGAGTTGCGGCGGGAATCTCAGAAGCCGATTTTTTTTTAAACAGCAGGAGTTAAACTAAGCTTTCATTTTAGCTAGGTACTACTGAGGATGAGATATACATGCTTTAATCAAGTTAAACGACAGTAAACAATAATAATCCATACATTTCTGCAGATGGTTAAACGTCTTAAGTCACACCAAACATTCCCAGAATTGGTGCAAAAAAAAGCTGCAAAAGAAAAATAGTTCGGGCACTGAAGAGATTTTCTTCCAGTCATGTTAATGCGGTTTATACCGACACATCCAGTAAAATGCAAAGAAATCAGAGGAGTGCTGCACAACGGGGATTAAGAGGGCCAGTTGAGTGTCTGGAACATGTTTGGTAAAGCAAACAGTCGTGTTTCTAGAGACTCAGCAGCTGAGGTTCACTACATAGGTATGAGGTACCAGAGTGGTATACAAAGCAATGTTTCATCTGATGTTAAAGTTGGAGAATTGGTATTTTAAATAACTTTGGATCATTCTGAGTTTCTTTCAATGAATGAGGACACATGTAACCCTCATACACATAACGTAACGTGGAACGTGATGTTAGCATGTTTTTAACAGCACTCGGAGAAAGTGCACCTGCTCTCCTGAACCCACCTCAGCCCTCTCTCTCTCTCTCTCTCTCTCTCTCTCTCTCTCTCTCTCTCTCTAGTCATCTGTGGTGATGTTGCGGAACAAGTAGGCCATGGATTCTCCGTTGTGGATGCGGCGGATGGCTTCGGCCAAAATCATGCTGACGTCCACCGTCTTGATTTTTGGACACTGGAGCTTCTGGACTTCATGGGGGACTGTGTTCGTCACCACCACCTGAGGGTGCAAAGAGGGGCTTAGTATGTGTTTCAATTAAAAAGGCAATTTCTTCCTCGTGCACCTGTGACATAAATAACATGTTCTAAAGCTGATGATAGATTTCAGAATGTTTACACTTTGCATCCAAGGAAAATGCAAACATGTTTTAAATACAAGCCTTTAGATCTGACCTGGCCTAGTGACTAACTGGGACGGCAAGGAATCTGTCTTTAATAAAACATATAGATCATATCAACACATTTGATGAAATCCTATTTTTTTAAGTTGTCTTGAACCAGGGACAGAGAGCGTCCTACCTTGTGGCTCCTGCAGAAAAGGAGCCACAGGTAGGATTTGAACCCGGGCTGCCCGCTTAGAGGCCTCTGTACATGGGGTGATTGCACTAACCACAAGGCCACAGGCGCCCCATACCGGTAAATCCAAAATCAAACATTTTTTGTGAACCCTAGATAGTTAGAGGAAACTGAAAGTTTAAACTAGAGGTTTACAGGAGGAGGAAATGCAACAAAAGTCTAATAACAGCTTAT